AGAGCTGTGCAAACCCCAGGCACAATTAGTGCCTGAAGAATATCTTAGTTTATAGTGCTATTACTCAGCTATTTCCTTTATATATAATCATATATTAGTTTATAGAATTAGTGCCTGAAGTGTAGCTTACTGCTTACATAGATCTAGCTTACATAATCATGCTTAGTACTTATATCTAGCACACTTTCTATATAATCTTTCTATATAATCATATAGGTATTGTAGTCAGAGCTGCACTGACACATTTAGTGCTGATTTATAGAATCCTTCCATATAACCATAGAGTAGTTTGTAGTAGGAGGAATGCCTAGAGCAGTCACAGAACAGAAGCAGTACATGGGAAAACAGCCAGACCAGGACAAGAACCAAAGACCCAGGCGGTGGCGTCCCTGCCTGAAAGGGCAGACGCTGTATGGCAGGCTTGGAGCAAGAGCCTCTCCTCCTGATAAAGGAGTTGTAGAACCTTGCATCCAGTTCCTGTGGAAAGTCGGCCTCAGGCCTGAGATCCCACAAATAACTGAGGGAGAAGAGCCACTCTGGTGTGACCAGTCACGGCGGTTGTACACCCGGTCAGTCCTTTTTCGCTTCTGTGCTAGCTCAAATCACCCTAGCACAAGTCTGCCAGCTCCCATTGCATTGGCTTACGGTATCTATTAAAAACCATTTGAAGTCTCCAGCCCTCAGATAAGAAGTGTTGCACATGACGCCTGTTGCACACAGCCCACCTCCTTGCCTCTGTGACCTAATGGGGGTGGACCCCTTTTCTGTACACGACCCTCTACTACTGTGCACGGCACAGACCCCTACTGCGCACAGCCCACCTCTCTGCCCAGGTGACATAATGGAGTGGCCCCCTCGATTGCGACTCACGTGATTATGTATGCCCTATCACTAAGCCTATAGATGATGACCTCACTTGCAACCCTTCCTCCTGCTTGTACCTAATAAATACAGACACTTCCGGGCATTCGAGGCCTCACCTGTCTCTGATCATAGGTAGCGTGGCCCCCTGAGTCCACCTGCTCTTCACCAGCTCTTCAGTGTCCTGTCTCTTTACTTCTCGGATCCTGCACCTCAGCACAGCATAAGGGACACCCCACGATCCTGTGGAGCCAACAGCCCGACAGCGTCCCAAGTAGCTGGGACTACAGGTGCACACCACCATACCAAGCTAACGTTTGTATTTTTTGTAGAGACAGGGCTTCGCCATGCTGCCCAAGCTGGTCTCAGACTCCTGGGTTCAAACAATCCGCCTGCCCTGGCCTCCCAAAGTGCTGGAACATCAGGAGTGAGCCACTGTACCCAGCCGGGTTTTTTTGATTAATAGATTTTTTGAACCATTTTCGATTTGCAGAAAAATGTGAGCATGTAGTACAGAGGAAATACATTTTTTTAACCTCATAAAAGTCCACCTTCAAATAACACTATACCACTTCATGTGTAGTGTGATAACTTAAAACAGAATTTCCAGTTCCTTCCTCCCATCTCATGACATTTAATTCATTCATGTGCTGTAACCACCCAGAATGTTGAATTTCTGACCTATATCATCTTTCTCTTTGAAGAACTTCCTTTTTTTTTTTTTTTTTTTGAGATAGAATATCACTCTCTCACCCAGGCTAGAGTGCAATGGCATAATCACAGTTCACTGCCTCCCGGGTTCAAGCAATTCTCTTGCCTCAGCCTCCTTAGTAGCTAGGATTACAGGCGCCCACCACCACGCCCAGCTAATTTTTGTATTTTTAGTAGAGAAGGGGTTTCGCCATGTTGGAAAGGTTGGTCTCGAACTTCTGGCCTCAGCTGATCCAACCATCTTGGCCTCCCGAAGTGCTGGGATTACAGGTATGAGCCACCGCACCCAGCCTGAAGAACTTCTTTTAATGTGTTTTTTTTGTAGGGCAGATCTGCTGGTGATGAATTTCTTCCATTGTTGTTTTTCTGGGGAAACCTTCCTTTCTTTTTCACTCCTGAAGGATCATTTCACTGGATTAAACTCCTGTTGATGGGTTTTCTCTCCCTCTCTCCCACTACTTTAATTATTTCACCCTACTCTCTCTTGCTTGCCCGGGTTCTAATAGCAAGTTTGCTGCAGTTCTTCTCCTTGTTCTTCTTTAGGTAAGGTATTTTTCCTCTTCTGGCTTCTCTCAAGGTTTTTCTTCATCTTTGCTTGTCTGCAATTTGCATAGGATATGCCTCGCTGTCAATTTTTGGTATTTTTCCTGCTTATGCCTCTTAGATTCCTGGATCTGCTGTTTCATATCTATCATGAGTTTCAGAAAATTCTTAGCTATTTTTTAATTTTTTCCAGACGGAGTGTAGCTCTGTGGCCTAGGCTGGAGTGCAGTGGTGCGATTTCAGATCACTGCAACCTCTGCCTCCTGGGTTCAACTGATTCTCCTGCCTCAGCCTCCCAAGTAGCTGAAATGACAGGCACCCATCACGATGCCCGGCTAATATTTGCAGTTTTAGTATAGACAGGGTTTCACCATGTTGGCCAGGCTGGTCTGGAACTCCTGGCCTCAGGTAATCCACCCGCCTTGGCCTCCCATAGTGCTGGGGTTACAGGCGTGAGCCACCGCGCCCACCCTTTTAGCCATTTTTACTTCAAATATTTCTTCAGCTCCTTTTTCTCTTTCCCATTTTCCAGTTATCTACATTTATATTTTTCGAATTGTTCCGTAGTCCTTGGATGTTCTGTCGTTTGTTTTTGTAACTTCTGCTTTTCTCTGGTTTGTCAGTTTGGGAAGTTGCTGTTGGGGCGTCGTAAAGTCGCTGATGTTCTCGGCCGGTCTCGGTCTACTCATAAGCTCGCCAAAGGCATTTTTATTTCTGTTACGGTGTTTTTGATTCTTAATATATCTTTCAATTTTTTTCTTAAGGTGGACCTCTCTCTGTGTCTATTACCCATTTGTCCTTGCCAGTGTCCTTGCCAGTGTCCTTGTCAATACTCAGAGATGTTTGTTCTTGATGTTGTCAACTTTTTCCACCAGAGCCCCTAACGTATTAGTCATGGTTATTCTAAATCTCACGTCAGCATGTGTCATGCTCCAGGCTCGCTCTGATGCTCCTTCTGACTGACTTTTCTTATCTTTTTTCATGCCCTGTTGTTTTTCTGGCGAGCCAGCCAGGATGTACTAGATAACAGGAACCGAGGTAAGTAGGTCTTAGGGTGAGGATTTACGTTTCTCTGGCTGGGGCTGGGCTGTGTTTGACGTCTTCTGTGGCTGTAGGAGCCCAAACCTCACGGCTATGGCCCAGGCTGTGTCACTCCTGCCTCCGTACACCCATCTGGAGCCCCGTGTTGATGTGTGACTATCACCCAGTTCTGAGTCCCAGCTGCGAAGCAGGGGCCATCATAGGTGCCCTCCCTGGGGCTGTGTGCCCTCCAACTCCATCCTGGCTCTGCCTGTGCCCAGCTCTCTGTGCAGGGAGTCCCTGCACGCTGCATGCCCCACCCTAGCAGCCCCCTGCTAGCTTCAGCCAATGAAAAGCACAGGTGGGAGTTGGAGGGGAGGGGGCAGGGAGAAGCCGGGGTATCCTCCTGCTCTGTCTGCGCAGAATCTGACAGTGGCTGTCTCCAGCTCTGGCCAGACAGGCCGTGTGAGGGTCCAGCTTTGACAAGGTGACCATAGCTCCTTGGTTCCTGCAGCAGCTCCTGTTCTCCCTGCATCGAGGACCTGGGGATTGTTCCTACTGTGGCTGATCTCAAGGTTACTTCACTGACCCCTGTATGGCTTCTTAGCCTCTTTGGCTTCAATTCTCTGCATTAAATTCCCCGTGTTTCAAATACTCAGTGATGTCTGGTTTCGTGTGGAGACCCTGACTCTTACAGTGTACCTGTTCAGGCCAGAGCCACTGACCTATGTGTGCTCCATCCCTGAAGCCTGTAATCCACCCCCAGCTCTGCCAGGAGCATGTGCCCAAGGACAGACCTGGTTCCCCAGGACAGTCCAAAGAGATCTGCAGAGGATGAATGTGTACGTTGGGGCCCATGAAGATGGAGTAGGAGCTCACTGGACAGAGAAGAGGGGGAAGGGCACTCCAGGGAGGAGCAAATGCTGAGGTCTGCTTGGGAAAATGCCTGGGTGGTTTTGGTGCTGTGAGAGTCTGGGGTAGGTGAAACAGTGTGTGTGTGTCTGTGTGTGCGTGTCTGTGTGTCTGTGTGCATGTCTGTGTGTGTCTGTGTGTGTGTGTCTGTCCGCGTGTGTCTGTGTGTGTGTGTCTGTGTGTGTATGTCTGTGTGTGTCTTTGTATGTGTCTGTCTCTTTGTGTCTGTCTGTGTGTGTGTGTATGTGTGTGTATGTGTCTCTGTGTGTCTGTGTGTGTGTATGTCTGTGTGTGTCTTTGTGTCTCTGTGTGTCTGTGTGTGTCTGTGTTTGTGTATGTCTGTGTGTGTCTTTGTGTCTCTGTGTGTCTGTGTGTGTATGTCTGTGTGTCTTTGTGTGTATATGTCTGTCTGTGTGTGTGTCTGCGTGTGTATGTGTCTCTGTGTGTCTGTGTGTGTGTATATCTGTGTGTGTCTTTGTGTGTATGGTCTCTGTGTGTCTGTGTGTGTGTGCGTATGTCTGTGTGTGTGTCTTTGTGTGTATGTGTCTGTGTGTGTGTCTGTGTGTGTGTGTCTGTGTGGGGGTGCAGGGGTTGGGTCTGAAGCTCCAGCAGGAGCAGCTGAATAAAGGGCTAGATGCCCACCCCAGCAGGTAAACTCATCAGAGCTCCCTATGGAGAGTGTAAGGGGGAGCCCCAGTGGGTCCTAGACTGCCTGGGAATCGCTGGTCCGGGAGCAGAGACTGGGAAGAAGCCCACAGTGGGGGGCAAAGGGTGGACTGGGAGGCTGCTCTGCCCTCCCCCCTCCATCCCCTCTAGCTCCCCTCCCCCCGTCCCCTCCCCCTCTCCTCCCTCCCGTCCCCTAGGCCAGGTTTCGCTTCTCCCTGAGAGTCCTGGGGAAACACCCCCTGTCCTTTCCCTTGCACCCCCATTTTTAGGCTGTTCCGTGAGAGCTTTCGGGGACGGCTGGCTTCAGGGGTTGCCTCCCCTAGCCGAGTGGGTGGTGGAACCGGAGCCCGGAGTCCAGGCCTCTGGCCCTGCGCCTCCCTGGCTAAATAGAGCCCTGGAGGGGAGTGGGGGAAGCAGGGCCCCAGGCGGAACCGGGAAAACACACCGGGGCTTTCGACAGAGCGGGCCACTCCCATTGCATGTGGAAAGCGTTTAAAAGAGGTCCTGCCGTGGGCTGCCGCCGCGTCCCTCTTCCTTCAGTCTCGACGCGTGTCACTGAGCAGAGGTGGCCTCCTAGAAGGGGAGGTCCCCGAACTCGAGGCCCTGCGTGTAGGGGAGGCGAGCGCCCGCCCCTTCCCTGCCGCCGCGAGCGCCCGGGAGGGAACCGGGGCTGCCGTCCCTCCGCCTCTTCCCCGCGGGGCGCAGCGATGGCCCGGGCCGGGGCGCTGCTGGCGCTGTGGGTGCTCGGGGCCGCGGCGCACCCGCAGTGCCTGGACTTCAGGCCGCCCTTCCGGCCGCAGCGGCGGCTGGCCCTCTGCTCGCGGTACTCGGTCTTCGGCTGCTGCGATGAGAAACGCGACGCCGAGCTGACCAGCCGCTTCTGGGCCCTGGCGAACCGCATGTTGGCCGCCGAGTGGGCCGACTGCGCCGGCTACGCCAGGGAGCTGCTGTGCCAGGTGAGCGGGCGCGCGGCCACCGGGCGGGGCGGGGCGGGGCGGCCGGTCCGGGAGCGGAGATCCGAACCCCGCTGGGGCGAGGGCCAAGAGTGGGCGGCGGACTCGGGAACTCTAGGCCCTAAGAGGGAGTCATTTGGCACGGGGCGGGGAGACCCGGCAACTCAGGACGACTCTGGGCTTTGCCATTCATTAGTTTACTGACTTGGGCCTTCTTGGGGCCTCAGTTTCCCCTCCTGAAGCAGGAGTGGCCGACAGATGATATCATCATTTCCTCAGAGGTTGGGGGCTCCTCCGCCTCGGCCCCCTGGAGTTGACCCCCCAGTGACCCACCCCGAGCAGCCGCGCCCTTGTGCGGGTACCAGGGTGGAGAGGCTTCTGTCCCGGTCCGTGCTCCGCTGTGCTGTTGCCCCGGCAGTGAAAGCAGGGGGCCCTGCTGTGGGTTTGGTCAACATGTCGCCAGGATTTGTTGAGGGTGTTGGGGGCCACTGCCCCCACGAGAGTCCCTCCCCACCATGCCCTTGGCACTTCTGCCACCATCTCCTGGGGATGGCGCCCTGGCCTGGCAGAAGCTCTCTCAAGACTGAGTGACAGCTCTTTGTTGAAGGCCCTGGGCTCCCATCTTCCCTCTGAGGGTGGAGCCCCTGCTTCTGGGCACACCTGGCGGGGCCACCGCTGTTTGTTTTCCTCTTGTGGGAGTCTGAGGCCCCAGCGCACGACCACACCCAAGCTGGCAAATGCTGCCTGAATGCAGGAATGGGGCAGGATGGGCAGCCCCAAGGCATTGCTGGTCCAGCATCTGGGCAGTGAGAGGCCTGGGGTGGAGAGGCCCCAGGGGCCAGAGCCATGTCCCAGCCTTTGGCCAGGAGGGGCAGGTGGTGTGGGGAGGGCAAAAGGGCTGACTTAGAGTCGGAATTTGATCCTGGCTCTGTCACTTCCTCAGCTGCATGGCTAGGCAGGTCACTGATCCACCTCAGTGACAGTATCTTTAAAACGAGGCCGGGCGCGGTGGCTCACACCTGTAACCCCAGCCCTTTGGGAGGCCGAGGTGGGCAGATCATATGAGGTCAGAAGTTCAAGACCAGCCTGGCCAACATGGCAAAACCCCATCTCTACAAAAATTAGCTGGGCATGTTGGCGAGCACTTGTAATCCCAGCTACTCAGGAGGCTGAGGTAGGAGAATCACTTGACTCCGGGAGGCAGAGGTTGCAGTGAGCCAAGATTGAGCCACTGCACTCCAGCCTGGACAATAGAGCAAGACTCTGTCTCAAAAAAATAATAATAATATAATATACAAAATAAATAAAATAAAACCTTAACCACCCCCTGGGTTGCCATGCAGATTAAATGCCTCATGCTAGGGGCTTCGTAAATGTTTGCAGTTGGATTTCTCAAGGGTTTCCTTGGCCCTCACTGGCTGCCCAGCAAGATTCAAGGAAAACCCAGAGAGAAGCAGGGACTTGCCCAACAGTCACACAGCCCAGCGGTGGTTGAGGTGGGGACATGGACCATACTCGCTGATGTGAGGGCTTATCTAGGTGAGAAGCAGAAGGGTCTGGGAGGATGAGGATGGGGCTCTGGGGAGCTCCAGAATGCAACAAAGTATGGGCTGGTCGCCTTTAGGTGGATTCTGCTGGACTCCCACGCTGTGTACCTCAAGGGCATGGGAATGGTCTGGCCAACTGTCTGGTTCCCTCACCAGCCTGGGGACCCCTCAGGACCAGGTCCTTTGGTCTCCCCACCCCTATCACATAGCAGGGTTCCTGCATCCATGCCACATTTGTCTATTGAGCACTTGCTATGTGCCAGGCTCAGCAGGGCAGTGAGGTAGGCAGGTGGATGGAAGAAGGGAAGGGTCAGTCCTGATGCTGTCCCCTGGCAGGGCATCTCTCTTTTCTTGGGAACCTTCCCAGGACAGCCTGGTCTTAAGCAACCAGCAGTGGAGTGACCACTAACACTTCAGCCCAGGCGTCTCTGAGAGTGACCTCATGTCTGGAGTGAGCTTGGAGATGGCGGCTGAGACAGGGTCACAGTTTCACTGACGGGCCTCCTAGAGCATGCTGGAGGGAGGATGTGCTCTCTGCTAGCCAAGGCGGAGTCTGCATTGGCACCTCCTGATTTCCACGTGGGGAGGTGGCGGAGGTGCTTATTTATAGGTCTCTGTCAGCGTGGAGGCACTCAGGCCTCCACACCTGCCCTGGGGAGATGGAAGACTCTTTCCTGGGGCGTTGCTTGTCCAGTAGATGCCTGTGTCCTCTGGAGGAGAGAGGGCAGCCCTGGCACGTGGCATTCCCAGTGCATTGGTGTGAGCCTTCCACGGCACTAACCTCCCCTGTGCCTGGGGTTGTCTAAGTCGCTGGTCATCACAGCATGTTTCCTGGTGGAGATCTGTGTGAAATGTGCTCTGTTCGCTCAAGTATTCAGCAGGCTCTTCTTCAGCCTGTTAGGAGTCAGCCCTGTGCTGGCTGCTGGGCCCAAAGGCCATTGGAAAGTCACAGGCTCAGTCTCAAAAGTCCCCTTTGTCACTTCAGGAGACTGACACACACAGGAAGGTGCCAGGGATTCCCCAAGGAGTGTAGGGAAAAGGCCACATAGCCCAGGGAAGGCTTCCTGGAGGAGGAAGCGTTGAGTTGCATGTCTACAGCTCATATTTACTGAATGAACATACACATCTCCTCCATCTATTCCTCCCAGCAGCTCTATGAGGTTGGAATTCCTTCCCCCTTCTATAGAGGAGGACGCAGGCACAGAGAGGTCGAGGGGCTTATCCACGGTCACTTGCGGACTGTGTGCTCTGGCTCTCCTAATTGCTTTGTCACACTGCCTCCCTCCTTGAAGCTCCACTGTGTCCCACAGTTGGTGGAGTGGACAGACATGCAAAGAGATGATAAAGTCCCAGCCAGGCCGACAGACTGGAGCACCCTGGCGATGGAGCAGGGACTACTGGAGAGAGCTCCCCTGTAAGCTGCAAGACTCAGTGGAGTGAGGGTAGTGTGTGAGACAGGCACAGGGCATTGGGAGCATTCATACGGGCCAGGGATGGGACAGTCAGTGCCCTGGGAACATGGAGGACAAGACAAGACCTTTGAGTTGGCCTTGAGTCACAAATAGCAGTTTGCCAGATGTGGGAGTGGGTGAGGGGCGACTATCTGATGGGAGGACACAGTGTGCAAAGGATCAGTCTTTCGAAGAACGAATAGTGGACATAAGAAACCTTCAGGACCCAGGGCCATAAGTCACGAGTGTCAGTGACATATGGTGGCAAACTCTGGGCAAGATGGGGACTCTCCACCCTGCACTAAATGGCCCAGGCAGCTGGACCCTGTGACATGGAGCTCCTTTCCCGTGGGCTTTCTGCCACCTGCCCCCAAACACAGTGAAGCCAAGCTCCGGATCATCCTCTTGTTGCTCCTTAGTTCTGGACTACCCTGGTCTGGGCCACACATTTACGTTGTGTGTGAGGAAGAGGACACAGGCCACGCGGAAGCACCTGCTGGGTGCCTGGGACGCGTGGGTGCTGAGGTCTGCGGTCTGGCTCCCCGAGGACCTTTTGCTCCCTCTGTAGTTCTGCACTAGGCTTTGGTGAATGGAGGGCTCTCGTTGCCTTCCAGATGTCTGTTCTGCCCCTCACTGTGTCTCTGGAACCAAGCTGGTCCCTGGCACAATCTCTGCTCAGTAAATTCTTGGTGAATGAAATGTTGCTGACTAATCTGGAAAGAACACCAGTCCAGACATCATGAGGCTTGGGTGTCAGCCCTGGTCTGGCTACTTCTTGGCATGTGTCCTTCTTCAAGCTTCAGTTCCTCATCCATAAAATAGGAGTCAAGCCGGGTGCAGTGGCTCATGCCTATAATCCCAGAACTTTAGTGAACCGAGGCGGGAAGACTGCTTGAGCCCAGGAGTTCAAGACAAGCCTGGGCAATATAGGCAGACCTTGTCTCTATAAAAAATAAAAAGGAAAATTAGCTGGGTATGGTGCAGCATGTCTGTGGTCCTGGCTACTCTGGAGGCTGAGGTGGGGAGGATCGTTTGAGCCTGGGAGGTCAAGGCTACAGTGAGCCAGGATTGTGCCACTGCACTCCAGCCTAGGTGACAGAGCGAGACCCTGTCTCAAAAAAAATCAATAAACAAATAAAGTAAAATAGTCACAGTGACCCTACCTTGCAAAGATGAAAGAAGGCACGTGTGCACACAGCCCCTCCCTGGTCCAGGTGCAGCTGCTGGCTGGCCCACAGGTGGCTCCCAGGGGAACCGTGGGAGGGACAGCACACATGGAGGCCCGAGGCCTGGCCATCTGGCCTGCTCGTTGGCAGAGGGGGGCATGTAAGACATAGCACCCCAGTCTGCACCTGGGACAGCAACTGACCCAGGACTCCAAGACATTCCACCAAGTGGCCCTTGGCCTGTTGGGTGAGACCTAGCCTCACAGCAGTAGAGGGGCCAGGAGGACAGTCTGTGGTGTGACGAAAATCCACAGTCATGTCACAGGAGTGAGTGGGCCCTGGCCTGGGACTTGAGAACTCCCCGGGAGGCAGCCTGCCATCCCCCATCCCCAGTCCTCCCCAAACGTCCCAGAGGCCTCCTGCTGGAACCCAGCCTGGCCCTCCCTGTGAGGGGAGGGAGGGTGCCGCTGTCAGTGCCTCCCCACTGCAGAAGGAACACCCCCTGAAGTCTCTGGGGGCCCGCAGCTGACTCAGATGTGACCTTGGCCTGGTGAACTCACAGGTGGGGAAGAGCATCAGCCACAGGTAAAAAGGATGATCACGCCACAGGCTGGTGGCTCTAACAGAGGGAGGCCCGCAGACAGCCTGGAGCCAAGGCCCTGCTGTGGGTAGGGGTGGGACATAGGGAGGGTGCTGTGGTCCGGGAACACTTAACTGGCATTTGGGGATGGGTAGCTAGGAGCTGGGCACACATGGCTCAAACCCCACTGGCCCACGTGACATGAGACCTTGGGCCAGTGGCTTCCATCTGCTGTCTCTGCTCCCACCTCTGTGCGGTGGGAATAAGGACCGGCCTCCCTCCCGTGGTTGCCTTGAGGAGGAAATGCAGATTCATGGGCACACTGCCTGGTGCCTGGCCCACAATCTGCCCAAAACCCCAGGAGCTGCTGTGATTGGTTAGCACTCCTTCTCCCATGGCCATGGCCATGATTTAAGGATAACAAGAGCTCTACCTGCCAGAGAAGAGCAGAGGAAGGGCATGCTTGTGAAGGCAACAGGCTGTGCTGAGGCTCAGAGGTGTGCAATGGCTGGGAGTATGTATTAGTCTGTTCTCTCATTGCTATAAAGGAATACCTGGCCGGGCACATTTGCTCATGTCTGTAATCTCAGCATTTTGGGAGGCTGCAATGGGAGGATGGCTTGAGCTCTGAAGTTTGGGACTGACCTGGGCAACATGGCAAAACCCCGTCTCTAGGAAAAAACACAAAAATTAGCTAGGTGTGGTGGCCCTCACCTGTAGTCTCAGCTACCCAGGAGGCTGAGGCAGGAGGATCTCTTGAGCCCAGGAGGCAGAGGTTGCAGTGAGCTGAGATGGTGCCACTGCATTCCAGCCTGGGTGACAGAGAGAGACCCTGTCTCAAAAAAAAAAAAAAAAAAAGACTGGGTAATTTATAAAGAAAAGAGTTTTAATTGCCTCACAGTTCTGCAGGCTACATAGGAAGCATAGCGGCTTCTGCTTCTGGGGAGTTCTCGGGAAACTTACAATCATGGTGAAAAGCAAAGGGGAGGCAGGCATGTCCCATGGCGACAGCAGGAACAAGAGAGAGAGATGGAGGTGGTGGCAGGTGTCACACGCTTTAAAACTACCAGATCTCACAAGAACTCACTCTACAGACAGTACCAAGGGGAGATGGTGCTAAACCGCTCGTGATAACCCCGCCCCTGTGATCCAGTCACCTCCCCACAGACTCCTCCTCCGGCACTGGGGATTACAATTCTACATGAGATTTGGGCGGGGACACAGATCCAAGCTATATCTAAGTATAAAGAGATGGAAAGCAGACAGGAGGTTGGAGAGGTGCAGGGAGGCGGGAGCTGACGGTGGAACTGTCCATGGGCAGAGCCGGGTCAGGGTGCACTTGGTGTTTTACTGTTTTTCAACAGATAGAGACCAGAAGGTACTAGAGGGTACAGACGAGGTGGTCACGGAGGACCGGAGGTGAGCCTTGGGCGGGAACCCGAGTTAAGTGCAGGAGGGAGCTGTGCTGGTATAGGGACGGAGGTGTGTTGTTAACACAGAGAGGGTGGCTGACAGTGCCTCAGACCCTTTTCGGCATATGGCAGGTGCTCCCGAGTAGCTGCTGCTGCTGTTGATAGGAGTAGTAATAGTATTGCTTTGTGTTCTAACAGAACAACACAAACATTAAGAACTAAATTTTGTTACTATTGTTGAGACTTATCGCGGTAACAGACAGATGGCATTGTCTCCATTTTATGGATCAGCAGACTGAGGCTCTGAGAGATGCGGGACCCACCCAAGGTCATGCAGCGGGTAAGCACCTCCACAAAGCATCTCTGAACCATTGCTGTCTCTGCAGGAATGCTCGCCGTATGCAGCCCACCTCTATGACGCCGAGGACCCGTCGACACCCCTGCGCACTGTGCCCGGGCTCTGCCAGGACTACTGCCTGACCATGTGGCAGAAATGCCGGAGGCTGCTCCGCCACTTATCAACCGACAAGAAGCTCTGGGCGCTGGAGGACAACCGTGACAAGTTCTGCCACTACCTGTCCCTGGATGACATGGACTACTGCTACCCTAACCTGATGGCCAACAAGAACCTCAGCTCAGACCTGGGTCACATGGTAGCCGATGCCACTGGCTGCCTGCAGCTGTGCTTGGAGGAGGTGGCCAATGGGCTGCGAAACCCCGTGGCCATGGTCCACGCCGGCGACGGCACCCACCGCTTTTTTGTGGCCGAGCAGGTGGGGCTGGTGTGGGCCTACCTGCCCAACCGCTTCAGGCTGGAGAAGCCTTTCCTGAACATCAGCCAGGCGGTGCTCACCTCGCCCTGGGAGGGCGACGAGCGTGGCTTCCTGGGCATCGCCTTCCACCCCAGCTTCAGGCACAACCGCAAGCTCTATGTCTACTACTCAGTGGGGATCCGCGCCGAAGAGTGGATCCGCATCAGCGAGTTCAGGGTCTCCGAAGACGACGAGAATGCCGTGGACCACAGCTCTGAGAGGTGGCTTCCCAGGGGAACCGGGTCTGGGTGGGGACAGGGCACCATATTCCCTGGTGTGACAACAGTATCAGTTGCTATCCTGTTCCTTTTTTTTTTTTTTTTTTTTTTGAGATGGAGTCTCGCTCTGTCACCCAGGCTGGAGTGCAATGGCACAGGCTCGGCTCACTATAACCTCTGCCTCCCAGATCCAAGCAATTCTCCTGCCTCAGCCTTCTGAGAAGCTGGGATTACAGGCACGCACCACCATGCCCAGCTAATTTTTGTATTTTTAGTAGAGATGGGGTTTTAGTATGTTGGTCAGGCTAGTCTCAAACTCCTGACCTGTGATCCGCCCGACTTGGCCTCCCAAATTGCTGGGATTACAGGCATGAGCCACCGCGTCCAGCAGTATACTGTTCTTAAATATTATGAATATTTAACACACCTGGTGGGGGTGGTGAATTTCATGCTTTGGGGCCTGGGGAAGGACAGTTTTGCAGAACAGACCTCACATGGGGATCATGTCCGAACCCCTCCATCTGGCCTACAAATCCCCACCAGCTCTTCTGTTTTCAGGCACTTTAGACAGTTCATTTCATTTGATTCTCCTAAAACCCACTGAGGCTAGTATTATTTTTCCCATTTTACAGATGAGAAAGTGGAGACTTAGAGAGGTGGAGCATTGGGTCACACGGGGAGGGAACGTCAGAGCCGGAACCCTGATCGGTTTTCCCCGAAGCCCACCGTCTTCCCCAGCCTGCCTCACTCTGGCCTGAAGTGCCATTCTTGAGCCCCACTGGCTCCTTTTTCCCACTTGAATCCCCTGCTCACGGGAACTTGCTTTCCTTCCTGCCCTGAGGTTCATCTGTTCCTGCCTGCGGGCTTCCGCTCCTCTCAACAACTCCTGCAGAGCCTGCGCTCTGTGGCTCATTTATGCCCCAACTATTTTCAAAATGGGTCTGACTTGGGGCACACACAGTCTGAAACAAACCCTGTATCAGCTTACTCAGTAGGCAGACTCTGATTCTAGGAGTCAGTTCCTCAGGTGTTCGGAATGATAAAAGGGCTCCGGCGCCATGGCTCACACCTGTAACCCTAACACTTTGGGAGGCTGAGGCGGGTGGACCACTTGAGGTCAGGAATTCAAAACCAGACTGGCTAACATGGCAAAACCTCGTCTCTACTAAAACCACAAAAACTAGCTGGCTGCGGTGGTGGGCACCTGTATTCCCAGCTACCCAGGAGGCTGAAGCAAGAGAATTGCTTGAACCTGGGAGGTGGAGGTTGCAGTGAACTGCGATCCTGACACTGCACGGCAGCCTGAGTGATAGAGTGAGGAGACTCTGTCTCAAAAGAAAAAAAAAAGGGAAACCTGGGGAAGGAAGGCAGTGACTCTGAGATTAACAACCGGAAGAAGCTGCCTATCAGGCCAGGAGGACAAAGTGAGAAGATGGGGTTACTGGGGCTCTGGAGCTGGGGACACCCAGTAGAAGCTAGAACTGTAAGTGGCCTGGGCAGGAGGAGGTGGAGCCAGGGAGAAGGAGCAGCTGCTGCCAAAAGAGAAGCTGCTTAAAACAGAGAAGGGGAGAAATCCCAGTGCTCCTGCCTCTCCAGGGTCCTGCCAGTGCTGTCCACTGGCTGAACCTCGCTGGAGCCCAGCTAGCTAAGAAGCCTGGGAAATGTCATTCACAGAAGCTGACCCCCTGAAGTAGAGAGGAGGTAATGGGAGGGCCAGGACTGGGTCTGAGGGCAAACGGGCAAAGAACAGTACATCGTGTATTTGTTAAAGCTGTAGAATCTTGACCCTGAATGTATAAAAAGAGGAGAAATCAACTATGAGAGCTATGAGGACGAACATGATTCTTTATGATGCACAGCATTAGTCTTGACTATGAGCTTCCTGGCAGCCAGAGTAAAAGGAGGAAACATCATTCTCAGGATCTTACATGAGCCTGTACAGCCAGTTCTCCAAGAGAACTGTGGCTCACACCTGTAATCCCAGCATTTTGGGAGGCTGAGGTAGGTGAATCACTTGAGGTCAGGAGGTCAAGACCAACCTTGCCAACATGGTGAAACACCGTCTGTACTAAAAGTACAAAAATTAGCTGGACATGGTGGTGGGCACCTGTAATCCCAGCTACTCTGGAGGCTGAGGCAGGAGAATCACTTAAACATGGGAAGCGGAGGTTGCAGTGAGCCAAGACTGCACCATTGCACTCCAGCCTGGGCGACAAAGCAAGATTCTGTCTCAAAAAAAAAAAAAAAAAAGAAAGAAAGAAAAGTCTTTTCCATTGTGAAATGACATCCAAGAGAGACTGTGATGTTGTTTTGTGTTTTTGGCTCATGCATGGAAGGCTGAGTTTTGTGGATCCCTTATCTTTCTTTAGGGTAATCCTGGAGGTCAAAGAACCAGCCTCAAACCACAACGGGGGCCAGCTGCTCTTCGGGGATGATGGGTACCTCTACATCTTCACCGGAGATGGCGGGATGGCTGGAGACCCCTTTGGGACGTTCGGAAATGCCCAGAACAAGTATGCTCAGCTTTCGGTTGGCTAGTGGGTTGGTTTACGTACTCCTGGGCTTCTCATATGCTTCCAGAGGCCGAGTTCCTTCCTCAGCCAGGCAGTGTAGGACAGGAGAAAAGGTTCTGGGTCCCAGCTCAGCCTGCAGCTAGCTGGGCAGCCTAGGCAAGTCACTTCCCCTCAACAGTTAGAGGAGGTAAAAGTCCCCAGTGCGGGCGGCTAGTCACAAGAAGTAAAGGCGATTGTGACTGCCCAGGGTCAGGCACAGTAGTTTCTGATCACAGGCACCTGAGAGGTGACATCAGTGAGCCTCAGGGCAGATGGGATTTTCTCTAAGGACAGCCCTCCCTGCTGGAAGAAGGGAAGGGGTGCGACCCAGGCTGAATGGAAAGTGTGAGCTGGCTGGAGCAGGGTGGCACCAGCACGGGATCTCCTGCCTTAGGGTCCCTCAGGAAGACCCAGATGTTAACTTGCAGCCTTGCCCTCTTCCCCACTTCCTGGCTTGAGCACATAATGTATGTGTGTGTGTGATGGAATGAAGATCTCATTCCATCACACACACACATACACAAATATGCGTACATGCACATATACACACAAACATGCATATACATACATGTACACACATCCACATACGTACACTCGTTCACACACATACACACGCACAGTCTTGTGCGTGTAAACAGGATGTCCAGGAGTCTGAAGTCAGCCTCCTCATTCCCTTTGCCAAAATGATAAAACCTTCCTCAGCCCAGGAAGTAAAAATAGCAAGTATGGTGTTGATGACAGTAATTAAAGTGCTCACACTTTGTGAGTTGTGCTTTCATATATGACAGTGTAAGCATCGTCCCAGCTTTCTCATGTTTGGGATATGTTTAGAGAGGAAAGTTGAGAAAATAGAAATTAAGGATTAGTGGATAATTGGACAGAACTTCAAAACATCATTTTGCTGCTATGAGTTTTGCCCACTTAGCTATTGAATCGTGGTGTGGTGCGTGGGCTCAGAGGTGTGATCTAGACGGCGCTCAGAAGCCTGGAGCGATGAGAGGAATCTATGGGGGAAATAGAAGGCCAGAAGCAGGGGCTTGATCACAACGCACGTATTGAGTGGAAGCATTTCACCACCATGAAAGAGGACACTTGTTTGCTCTCCCTACTGACAAGGGATAGGCATGGGTGCTAATGCTATGTGAGGATAATGGAATACAGCTTCACAAACCCTGTCTTGAAAAGAAACCCAGAGGGAGGACACCAAAATGCTAATAGCAAGGGAAGCTGATGCATTAAGTTGGTGCATCAAAAATCATAGATAAAAAGGGAAAGTTCTCTGCACTGTCTTTAAGTGCATCACAGATTTTTCCCATCATGCTCTACTTTTTTCATGAGCTACTCATCCCCTGAACTGCATGGAGCTTAGGGCTGCACCCCTGTGCTCTCTCCCCCTCCCCCCGACACCCACACTCTGATAGGTGTGTCCTAGTATGTTTTATCATTTGTGGGTCCTAGTAGGTTTTATCATTTTGGCTAAGGGAATGGGGGAGGCCGATCTGGGACTCCTGAACGTCCTGTTTACACATCTTGTTTGGCTTTTATTGCAATCCATCATTCATTGATTCAGCAGACACTTAGTGGTCCTCCACTATGTGCTGGTCACAATGCCGGGTACTGGAAGAAAACTGTAAATACAAATCATTTTTCTACTGGAATTTTCACGCTATACCACAGTCTGGGAGGACTGAGTGGACTGAGCGGGACCACTCTAAAGTTATAGTTGAGGACACCCACATTCCACAGTGTGTGGTAAGGAGCTTGGGTTTCTGGGCAGGCTGTCTGGGCTGATCCCAGCGGTTTGGCAACTGGGCAACGTTATTCTACCTTTCTGAGCCCTGCTGCCACAGCCCTAGAGGGGGGGATCATACTAGGAGCCACCTACCTAAAAGACTGTTGTGAGGACAAGACGAAATAGATGATGTGTGTGTCCAATGCTTGGGACAGGCCTGGAGCACAGGAAGGTGGGAGATGCATGTTGAATGAATGATTGAGGTTACCCGGCTGTAAATAGCGAGGGAGGACTGGATCCCGGGGTCTCTGGCCCCACAACCTAGGCTCACCCTGCACCTGGCTCAGTGGTCAGCCAGCGCCCAGGCACCCGCCCTGCAGAGTCCGTGCGCCCCCGCGCACAGCGACCCCGAGCCGCGCCCTCTCCCACCCCGCCCGCAGGTCGGCGCTGCTGGGCAAGGTGCTGCGTATCGACGTGGACCGCAAGGAGCGCGGCCTGCCCTACGGTATCCCGCCCGACAACCCGTTCCTGGGAGACCCCGCTGCGCGGCCCGAGGTCTACGCCCTGGGCGTGCGCAACATGTGGCGCTGCTCCTTCGACCGCGGCGACCCCGAGTCGGGCGCGGGCCGCGGGCGCCTCTTCTGCGGCGACGTGGGCCAGAACAAGTACGAGGAGGTGGACCTCGTGGAGCGCGGCGGTAACTACGGCTGGCGCGCGCTCGAGGGGTTCCAGTGCTACGACCGCAGCCTGTGCGCCAACGCCTCGCTCAGTGAGTGCCCGCGCCCCAGGGACCCCAGCCCCGGATCTGCCCCCAGCCCACCTCACCTGCTGTGCCGCAGGGCCTCCCTCAGGGACCACTCGCGCCCCGGGATCCCGGGCCCCACTCTGTGAGCTGTGCGGCAGGGCCTCACTTGGGGGCCACCCGCACCCCAGGCACCCCCGACCCTGGGTCCGCCCCCACCCCAACCCCATGGGCTGTGCACTAACGCCTCCCTCGGCGACTGCCTTCGCCCTCACCCGAAGCCTCCCTGCACCTTGGAGGCCTCCCAGCAGCGCTCTTCTGTCCCTCCTCGCCCCATCCCCACCTGGCACCCCTGCCGACAAGTTTTCCAACACGCCAGCCCTGCTGTGGGCACACCCCTTCCTCCGTGGCCGCCCCGCCCCCGCGGAATCCCTCTGGAATTCTCCTGGCAGATGAACCTGCTCGCCGCGGGCTCACGGAAGCTTCTCGCCCTCCCACCCCGCAGATCACAAACTGCCGATTTTTGCCTACCCGCACACAACTGGCAAGTCGGTCACAGGGGGCTACGTGTACCGGGGCTGCGAGTACCCCAACCTGAACGGCCTCTACATTTTTGGGGATTTCATGAGCGGGTAAGTGACCTAGTGCCCTCGTGCCCCTGGCTGCTGCCACTGGCTGCTTGGGATTGGCTCTTTGGTGAAAAGGAGTGTATGTGTGTGCCCCCCTTCCTGCACATGTGCCTCGCCGCTCTGACGGGGCTCCCAGGTTGTGGGCCGGACACCCGCATCCACCCGCTTCTCCGAGATGCATCCTGAGCCTTTGCTGCAGGCCTCAGTACCTCTGTGATAGTCACACAACTCATGACATTGAAGACTGGAGGTTTGCTTCAGTGCGGGGCCCCTGATCTTCCTGTCCCGGCTCAGAACCATGTGCTCTGCGTCTGGCAGCAGTTCGGATGGGCAGGAGGGCAGAACAGGAACAATTTCCTTGACACTCAGGGCGATCCTGCTCCTGGGAAAGCCATGGCTTGTCACTGAACCAGCTGATGGGGGCCTGGAGCCCTGCGCAGCCCACCCCAGCCAGGACTGCAGGGAGCTTGCAAAGCTTGAGAAACTTTGCTTGGATGGATGGATGGATGGATGGACCCCAGAGGACAGTGGCTGCCCATGGGCCTCCTAATGGGGAGAGGAGGTGGGGATCTTGTGGCCTTGGAGCCTTGCTGCCCTGCCCCTGTGCTCTAGGGCAGCAGTGCCACCCACTGAGACCCTGTTGTGGGGGGAGGATGAATCACATCCCAAATAGGCTTGATAGGGAAGGGAAACCTACATCACAAGCCTCCTGTGAGTCAGGCTCTGTCCCCAAGGGTGCTTATGGAGCCTCGTGACAGTGGGCCAAGTGGCCTGATCTGAACCCTGACCCACTTACTGGCCGGGTGACCTTGGCCAGTTACCTTACCCTTCCTTATCTTCAGCTACCTCACCTGCAACATGGAGATGGTCATAGTACTTGCCCCCAGGTTTGTTTTGAGAACTGAATCAGTTAATACACAAATAGCACTTAGAATCTAGTGTACACTCGAAAGAAAGAGAGAAAGAAAGAAAAAGAAAGAAAGAAAGAAAGAGAGAGAGAGAGAGGGAGGGAGGGAGGGAGGGAGGGAAAGAATCTAGTGTATGCTTAATATATAGTGTTTTTGTTGTTGTTGTTGTTGTTGTTGTTTTGAGACAGCATCTCATTTTGTTGCCCGGGCTAGAGTGCAGTGGCACAATCTCAGCTCACTGCAGCCTCCATCTCCCAGGCTCAAGCAATCCTCCCACCTCAGCCTCCTGAGTGGCTGAGACTATAGTCCTGTGCCACCATGCCTGGCTAATTTTTGCATTTTTTGTAGAGATGGGGTCTTGGTCTGTCACCCAAGCTGGTCTTGAACTCCTGGACTCAGGCGATCCTCCTGCCTCGGCCTCCCAAAGTGCTGGAATTACAGGCTCAAGGCATGATGCCCAGCCTGGTGTTTCTTATTTCCATGCAGCCTATTTCCATGCATTCTTCTTCAGAAGGCAGCTGAATAGGGTTCCTGAGGAGGGGGAATAAAGAGGTGAAGTTGCCTGAGGCTGGTGGGAGAATTCTGGCTTTGTGTCCAGCCTGCAGCCTGAGCTGAGAGAGATACCTGACCTGGGCCCCTGGAATTTGAATCCCTCTCATCTCCGCCCCTTCCCCTCGGACCCAGCTTTTCCATCTGGAAAATGGGTATAGATGAAGCCTCTGTTTTTACCCCAGATTCTTCTTTCTCCCTTCTGTCCTTCCCAGGAGGGCCCAAGTCTCCTGACCACAGAAATTCAACTAATTTTGCCAGTTTTCTCAGCCCCTCTGCTGGGTCAGGCAAGGGCCAGGATGACAGAGATGAAGAGCACCCCTCACACCCAAGCCAGGGAGACAGACCCATTCAGTCCACTGCACTGCAGCCTCAGAGAGCCTGTGCACAGTGTGGGGAGCACTGCATGAGGGCTTTCAGGGAGGGCTTCACAGAAGAGGGGATGTCTCTAAGCAGGACCTGGAAATACGACTAGGTGATTGGCAAGCCGAGATGGGAGTAAGGAGCAAGGTTAGCATATTCCAAAGATGTTGAAGCTCCAGTGGTTGGCAGGTTCTGAAACCGGTGAGCTCTTGACAGTGTTGTGCCCTCTGCAGGAGCCAGTGGGCAGGACTGCATTCAGGGTGCAGGAACCAAGCTAGTCTTGTTCATTCTTGTGGGTCTCAGGTAGGTGCTTAGTGAAGAGTGCACACAGTGACAGCTTCATGGACGTACGCAGTCACACAGGGCCCCATGCTCAGAAAGGTCCACACTTGATCTCATGCTCTGTGGTCACTATCTTGAATTCTTAACACTTTTTGAACGAGCGGCCCTGCATGCTCGTTCTGCACTGGGCTTGGCAAATTGTGTATGGTCCTTGCATGAATCAGTGGGTGAGTGGATGGATGGATGGATGTGGGAGGGAGGGATGGATGGATTGGTGGGTAGGTTTCCCTAGGTGCCATGCCAGGCATGGCCTCACAGTTCATCTTCCTTTGCAGGCGTCTGATGTCCCTCCACGAGAACCCAGAGACAAGCCAGTGGCAGTATAACGAGATCTGCATGGGCCACGGCCAGACCTGCAACTTCCCAGGCCTCATCAACCACTACTACCCGCATATCATCTCCTTTGGGGAGGATGAGGCCGGTGAGCACTCCTGAGACCTCTCCTTGCTGGTTGCCCATCCCTGGGACTGGTCCTCCAGGCTGCGGGCCTTCTGGTCTCTGATGTGGGGGAAGGACCACACAGGACTGAAATTAGTTCCCACGGGAGGAAAATGTTCCCTGGGCTCTGGACCTTGCATGTGCCTGTGTTACAGGAAAGGGGTCCCGCGCCAGAGCCCGAGAGAGGGTTCTTGGATCTTACACAAGAAAGAATTCAGTGCAAGTCCGTAGAGCAAAGTGAAAGTAAAGGAATAGGAGAATGGCTGCTCCACAGAGAGCCCCGAGGGCAGCTGGCTGCCTATTTTTATGGTTATTTCATGATGGTATGCTAAACAAGGGGTGGACTATTCATGCCTCCCCTTTTTAGAGCCTATAGGGTAACTTCTTGACATTGCCATGGCATTTGTAAACTGTCATGGTGCCAGTGGGAACGTAGCACTGAGGAGGCCCAGAGGGCACTCTTGCCGCCATCTTGGATTTGGTGGGGTTTAGTCAGCCTCTTTACTGCAAACTGTTTTATCAGCAAAGTCTTTTAACCTGTATTTTGTGCCGACCTCCTATCTCGTTCTGTAACAGAATGCCTTAAATGTCTGGGAATGCAGCCCAGTGTTTCAGACTTATTTTGCCCAGCTCCTGTTCAAGACGGAGTTGCTCTGGTTCACATGCCTCTGACACATCCTTGGGCATCTTCACTTCTCTGAGCTTCTGTTTGTTCCTATGGAAAATGGAAGTAGTGGCCCCTTTCTTCCCCTCACCCCTACCCCACCCTGGGCAAGGTTGCCATGAGTTCTAGACTAATCACGTGGGTAAGTGTCCCTGCCAGTTGGCTGGCCAGGAAGATCTGGAATGGTGGAAATGCAGGCAGGTAGTGGAAGAGAGCCTCCTCAGAGACCTCCCCTGGCCTGGATTTCCTGATGGCAAATGTGTTTGGGCCGTTAAATGAAGCCACATAATTATTTCAAAGCGGGTGGACACAACCTTCTTGTCGGTTACTGGGTCCTGAATCTAGGCACTTGTGTTTTCAATGCAAGGGACAGAGTGGGAGGGGAGAGGAAGAGGGGCTGTGGAGACTGGATCCTGTTCCAGCCTCCTGCCTTTGTCCTTGGCCCGGGATTGTTCCTGGACAAAAGCCCAGGGGCCCCCAGCGGGCCCTAATGGATGCTTATTGGCGTTGCTAGGCAACGCCCGCCCAGGGGCCTTTGGAGGGGTGTCCCCTGCAGGGCTCAGTGCCCAGAGCCCCCAGGGCTGAGTCTGGGAAACTTTTGTTGAACCGTCAGAATCTGAATTTCCAGAAAAGCAGCCCCCAGCCCCCACAGCCATTCCTAAGCCCTCTGGGCCCTTGAAAGCCCTTTCTTTTGGTCAGTAGGGGGTTAATGTGTTTTGGAAGCAGGGGCGGCCCCTCCCCCCACAGAGGCAGGGCCCAAAAGGAAGGTGCAGTCCCCAAAGGGCCATTCCTCAGCCCTCTGAGTGACACCCGAGTGTGGAAAGCCAGGAGGAGGCACCAGTGAGACAGGCGGCCCAGAGACAGCTCTGGCAGCGGCCTCTGGAAGGCATGGGCCCGGAGCCCTGCGGTCCGATGAGAACAACCCTTCCCCTGCACCCGGACCTGCTTCTGCCTCTCTAGTTGTTGATACTTGCAAATTACAAAACAAGTCCCCCTGCTGGCCCAGTGTGCTCCAGGGACAGTCCACACCACAGATACCAGGAAGGTGGCTCAGTGTCCCACCAAGGGAAGACGTCCCCTTTGCCCTCTGAAAGTTCATGGAAAACCACTGGCAAGGGCCAGATTCCTAGGAGAAAAGGCACACAAATGCATTCTGTCACAGTTTTACATGACACAGGAACCCTTGAAATGAAGACCCAAAGATAGGAGAAATTGTCCTTTTTTTTTTTTTTTTTGAGATGGAGTTATGCTCTTGTTCCCCAGGCTGGAGTGAAGTGGTGTGACCTCGACTCACTGAAACCTTCACCTCCTGGGTTCAAGTGATTCTTATCTCAGCCCTGCAAGTAGCTGGGATCACAGACACGTGCCACCATGCCTGGCTACATTTTGTATTTTTTTAGTGGAAACGGGTTTCACCATGTTGGCCAGGCTGGTCTCAAACTCCTGACCTAAGGTGATCCCTAGTGCTGGCATTACAGGTGTGAGCCAACGCGCCCCGCCAAAATTGTTCATTTTTATGCTCAGGTGCAACAAAGTATGGACAGCTGTGTAGAAATGTGACTGGACAAAAGGGTCTGGGCTCATGCTGATTGAGTGGGGAGGGCCTGCACGGCCTGTGTGTCTAAAATCTTCTTGGCCTCTCTGTGCATGCATTCCCTCCTTCTGGGCATGGACTGTCTCTGGAATAGGAGACTTATGACCTGCAAATGAGTCAGACAGGTCAGATCATCTCTTCATCATCTTTTCCGTTGTTTTTTTTTTTTTTTTTTGAGGCAGAATCTTGCTCTGTCATCCACAGTGGCGCCATTATGGCTCACTGCAGCCTCAAACTCCTGGGTGATCCTTCTGCCTCAGCATCCCAAGTGGCTGGGACTATAGGCACATGCAACTATTTTTAAATAGTTTGTAGAGATGGAGTCTTGCTATGTTGCCTAGGCGGGTATGGAACTCCTGGACTCAAGTGATCCCCTGCCTCAGCCTCCCAAAGTTATAGCCACCACATCTGACCTATATAATTTCTTTTTTGTTGTTATTGTTGTTGTTTTTGTGTTTTTTTGTTTTGTTTTGTGTGTTTTTGTTTTTGAGACAGGGTCTTGCTCTGTTGCCCAGGCTGGAGTACAGTGGTGTGATCTCAGCTCACTGCAACCCCTGCCTCCCGGATTCAAGAGGATTCTCATACCTCAGCCTCTTGAGTAGCTGGGACTACAGGCGTGCACCACCATGCCTGGCTAATTTTTGTATTTTTAGTAGAGACAGGGTTTCGCCATGTTGGCCCGGCTGGTCTCGAACTCCTGACCTCAAGTGATCCGCCTGCCTCAGCCTCCCAAAGTGCTGGGATTACAGGCGTGAGCCACCGTGCCTGGCCTCAGATAATTTCTTTATGGCCAGTTTTACACAGAAAGGTGGGGAGAGAGTTACCATAATATTTTTAGGTTCTGACCAGCTTTGGGGGAAATTTGTGCCAGTTTCTATGATCTGTCTTGGGAAACAGAGTCTAGTTTCTATGGCACCTCGGGGGAGAATAGAACTGAGACTGGAGGACAGGAGGTCAGAGAAACACTTTTGCTTTGGAGGCGGCTTCTGAGGCCTTCATTTTGGAGCATGGTTTTCTGAGTCTCAACAGCAGCCCTGGGCCGGCTTGGCAGCACCCGAGGGGGCTCCCTGTGTGTGCAGAGGGCTGGGGGCTACAGCTCCCATCAGATCCGGGCTGGAAGGGGCCTTGCAGTCTGCCTGGTCCAACCTTGTCATTTTACTAATGGGGAGACTGTGGCTGACTATGAACGCCTGGTTATGGAGGAGGGGCACCGAGCCAGAACTGGGCCCTGGCCCCTCCCAGAGGTGGGCCTTAAGGTCAGCCGGCCAGATGAACCAGGGAGTTCCTTGAGGGGTTGGAGCAGAGGAGGCCAAGGCTGCTCCTGGTGGCTCACTCCAGAAACAGGCCCAGAGGGGAATGGACGGCCCAAGGCTATGTGGCCAATTTAGGGCTGTGCCCAGGGACTTCCCAGCAGGGATATCTCCCCTGGGGACCCCCACTGCTGCAGGCCTACAGCCTCTGCCCCCTCCTCTCCAGTGGTGCTGGTGCCCCTGGGTTCGGGTGTCAGGAGCCATTGACCACTCAGCAGCCTGTTATCCTCATTCCCCCGCTCTATCACAGCTGGGTCTACCCCAGTTACACAAGTTACCCCTCAATTGTCTTCCCTTTGCACTTTCCAAGTCTCCTGTGCTTTGCCTCTCAGACCCCACCCCCATGCAGCTCTCCCTGACTGCACCTGTCCCCAGGGATAGGCTTTCCTCCAAACTGTTACCAAGCTGTCTCAGCCCCTCCTTGGGGAAACCCCCTCCCTGGCCCCAGCCCAGCTGAGCTCTCTGCTATCCTTTCTTTTTGAGACGTAGTCACACACTGTTGCCTGGGCTGCAGTGCAATGGCACGATCGCAGCTCACTGCAACCTCCGCCTCCCAGGTTCAAGCAATTCTCCTGCCTCAGCCCCCTGAGTAGCTGGAATTACAGGTGCCTGCCACCACGCCTGGCTAATCTTTTGTATTTTTTAGTAGACACGAGGTTTCACTATGTTGGCCAGGGTGGTCTCGAACTCCTGACTTCGTGATCCACTGACCTCGGCTTCCCAAAGTGCTGGGATTACAGGCATGAGCCACCACATCTGGCTGCCTGCTATCCTTTTACAAGGATAAAGCCTGCGGGGACTGGGGATGAGGGGTGGTGAGGTGGGGCTGGCTTCGAGGGTATTCCAGGAGGGGGTCTCACTCGTCGCTTTGTTCTGTCCAAAGGGGAGCTGTACTTCATGTCAACAGGGGAGCCGAGTGCCAGAGTTCCACGCGGGGTCGTCTACAAGATAATTGACCCATCCAGGTGAGTCCCGGCCTCCAGGACAGGGAGCTCCTGCTGTCTGTCAGGGCTGCTAGCTACATTGGCCCGTCCCCTCCGCCTCGCCCTCAGGTGGGTGGTATTAATCCCCATTTTTCAGACAAGAACACTGAGGCCCAAAGAGGAATGTGATTCGCCTCGCTGGGACTCCTTTCCGGGGGCTCCATTTCCCCGGTTTCCCTTCTAGCTGTAAGGCCAGAAGCGCTGTGGCAGCCATGTCCCAGCTCCTTCCTTGTGCAGCTCATTGACTTCCCAGCCATTCATTTTACAGTGGTGGAAATGAGCACAAAGATATAAAGTCACGGCCCAGGGCCCAGAGCCCTGCCCTAAGCCCTCGGCTGCGTGCCTTAGCCTCACCCTCTTCTAGCTCCTTCCCCAACCCACTTTGCCCTCCATGCCCCCGGTCCAGCCCTTCCTCAGCTGTCATCACTCAGACTTGTAATCTCTGGGCTACACGACTGACCGTCTCCCAGCTGGTCCGGGATTCTCAGGACCAAGCCTGTGTCTCTTCACTCTGCAGCGGCCACCCATGCACTGGGAATGGCACGAAGCAGAGACTCAGGAATGCTTGATGAATAAATGAGTGATCCACTTTCTAAGCCGCTTCTCAGCCCTTGGATTTTCACTCCTCTGCTGGCTTCCACAGCAGTCTGAACGGCCCTTCAACACCCTGGTGCGGTTCCAATCTTGTGCTTATCTCTAACACAAGGCCTGAGGTTGCACTCCAAGAATCCACACACTTGGCAGACCCTAGGAGTCCTCAATGTGTTTAGTTACCCTAAACGTTGAGATATGCCAGGTTTGGGAAAATCCTGAAACAAGCTGTCAGGCTTCACATTCTCGGGAGGGAGATTCAAGGAGTTCAAGTCCAGCCTGGGCAACATAGGGAGAGACCTTGTCTCTCAAAAAATTAATTAATTTTACAAAAAGAAAAATTCTAAAACACTTATTGTGCTTAAAATATGTTATGCTGGGCTCAGTGGCTCACGCCTGTAATCCCAGCACTTTGGCAAGCTAAAGCAGGGGAGTTGCTTGAGCCCACGAGTTCAAGACCAGCATGATCAGCATAGCAAGATCCCATCTCAACAAAGAATTTAAAAATCAGTCCAGTGTGCTGGCACGCATCTGTGGTCCTAGCTACTTGGGATGCTCAGGGGAGAGGATCACTGGAACCCAGGAGGTCAAGGCTGCAGTGAGCTATGATTGCACCACTGCCCTCCAGCCTGGGTAACAGAGCAAGACCCTATCTCAAAATAAAAGAAATTTTAGAATAGTTTTAGATGTACAGATAAGTGGCAAAACGTATAGCGTTTCCCGTATGCCCCTTACCCTGTGTCCCTTATTATGAACACCTTACATTATTATGGTATACGTGTCAAAATTAATCAACTAATATTGCTCCATCACTATTCGTTAAACTCCACACTCTTTTACTTCTTTTTCTGAGATGGAGTCTTGCTCTGTCACCCAGGCTGGAGAGCAGTGGTGGGATCTCAGCTCACCGCAACCTCTGCCTCCTGGGCTCAAGTGATTCTCCTGCCTCAGCCTCCCGAGTAGCTGGGACTACAGGCACCCACCACCATGCCTGGCTAATTTTATATTTTTAGTAGAGAAGGGGTTTTGCCATGTTGGCCAGGCTGGTCTTGAACTCCTGACCTCAAGTGATCCGCCTGCCTCAACCTCCCAAAGTCCTGGGATAACAGGCGTGAGCCACTGCACCCAGACCCCACACTCTCTTTCAAAGGCCGTTTCTAGTTGTTCCCCAGTGTCCTTTTCCTGTTCCAGGTTCCTATGTTACGTTAGTTGTATCTCCTTAGCTTCCCTATTTGTGATGGCTTCTCACTTTCCTTGTTTACCAGACCTGGGTTTTTTTGGTGGTTTGAAAAGCACGCATAAAGTATTGACATGACATCTTATCAAAGAAAATGTCATCACTTCCTCCTTCCATCCCTTCCTCCTGATTTCCCTGAGGTCCCGTCTGTCGTCATCTGTGCAGCGCCAGGACTGATGTGGTTGTATTTGGAGCACGTGCAGACTTGGTATTTTTCCTTCATGTATGCCATGGTGTCTAAATGTTGCAAACATTACCTTCAAAAGAACCATTTCAAATGGCTGCGTGATTTTCTGCTGAGTCACTGTAATTGTCCTACCCATTCCATGGAATTTTAGGTTATTTCCAATTTTCAAAAAAAGAATGCTTCTCTGAGGAAATGTTACATACATCAAGCAAGTGCCTAATTCACACCAGATGTTGCCTGAGATTCGTCATCTTTGCTTTTTTCAACACTGTTTCCCTATTGGCTTGTTGTCCCCACGTCATAGAGAGAGGGACCCCAAGAAGACTTAGGGACTTCTCTTGCTTACCGTCTTGTGTAGGAGCCGGAAGTGGGCTAGTTCCTCCCTCCCGCCCTGACCCTTCTCTTCCCTTCCTTCTCCTATCTTGGAATAACTGTTTCTTTGCACCCACACATATTACGCAGAGATCCCATTATAGAACATTGGAAAATGAAGAAATGAGGAGTGAGGGGGATGGGGTCGGGTCATCTATGACCACCCACACATAACCACAGTGGTGTTTTTGAGTGGATATCCTACCCTTTTGCATAACAAAGACTTTCTAATTTCCTTAAGGATCCAAAGCCCCACTGGGTCTGTCTGAAGTGGGTGGACGGTCTCTGGAGGTCAGAGCAACCAAAAAACCTCACTCTGTCTGCAGCTTTGAGAAGTGTGTGTGCCTGGTTGTGTTTCTGCAGTCTCTGGGGACAAAGGCCCTTGTCCCTCTTTGGTGTCCCTCTTGGGCCAAGCCTGTCTGGAGGCCACTCCGTGTCACGTGGCTACTTCACCCCTTTGCCTTCCCACTGGAATCCTGTTGAAGTTGTGGACCCACGTGGCTCTGTCCTGGAATGGGGTCACAGATTGTTGGCCAAAAACTAATTAAAACAGAATTCCATTCCCTACTGTGTCCTCAAAACTATCAAAGGAGACCCAATTCCTAGTCCTGGCACCCTTCTCCCTTTTGTCTCCCTGCTCTCTCAAACCCCACATGCCAAGACCCCAGGTCCCTCAGCTCTGCCTCCAGCTGTAAGAAGGCTTTCCTCGCTCACGCCCCCATCCTTTAGATGGTTCCAGGCAGAGGAATCTCTCAGATTCTACATCATCGGAAATCCAGGAACCAGAGGGTCAGAGAGAGACCCTTCTCAAAGGCTGTGGGGCTGGAGGGAGAGGGTGGCAGGCAGGAATCAGGCTGCATTTACAGGAGTTGGAGGCAGGCTGTAGGAGGAGAGAGACTGGCATTTGATCACACCCTGGGGACAGAGTCCATGCTCTGGATTAGAAGTGTCTTGGGAAAGAGTAAGCCTCCAGCCCTGGTGCTATTCTGGCAGAGGCTGGGCGTGCACCTGGTGGGCTGTTATGGGGGATTCATGCCCTGGAGCTCTTAGAATCCTGGGGGCATGGACTGTGCAGGGATGCCACAGGCCACACAGTAGGTGCACAGTAAATGGCCGCCTGTTACCATCGCTGCTGGCCATATCTGCCTCGCTGCAGGGGAAAGGTAATGGCAGGGGGATATCCCCAGGGTGGGCTCCCAGGGTAAGACTCATGACCTCCTGTGTGTCGTTGGCAGGCGGGCACCACCTGGCAAGTGTAAAATCCAGCCTGCTAAGGTGAAGATAAGAAGCGGCCTCATCCCCTTTCTGCCCAGAGAAAGTAAGTGCCTGCCAGTGGGGATGCTGTGGGAGGGGGAGCTCCCGCAGCCCACATCGCTGTCCCTCCAGCCAGATGTGGGACTTACCAGCTGGACCTAGATGCCCATCTTCGGCCCCTGTGCTTAGCACTGTGCCTGGCACACATTAGACATGGTGGTAAGCTGGATGGGACTTGAACTAAATTGGGTCTTGCTTGATTGGTTACAGTTCCTTAAACCAAAAGAGAAATAGCTGGTGCCACGCAAGGTATGCTCCGAGTTCTTGGGAGGGACAGAGAAAGAGGATGTACCTGTGTGTAAACAAGGGAGATTGGAAGAGTTATTTGGGGAGGGGGGGGGCTGGCATGTGGGCTGGGCCCTCAGATGGTTCCATGTTGAGAAGCCTGGTGAGGACAGATGGCCAAGCAGGTCCACAAATGACTGTCCATTGGGTCTGGGGTCTAGCGGGAAGGGTATGCCCCAGGCTGAGACTGGGACTTTTCCCCTCTGCACAAGTTAGGTGAGAACAAGGACCCCGTGTTGCCAGGTCTTCCAGTTCTTCAGAGAAGCAGGAACACACCCATCTACTCATTCACCAGGGACACGTGCCCTGCCCTGGGGATGCACACACAGCGAGGCCCTGCAGGCCTTGCCTTCTCAGCCTGTTAGATACAGCCTCCCAATTCAAAGTGTTGGCAACCAGTTCAGAATTTTAAAAACCACTCTGTGGGCCAAGGAAAGTATTTCAGCAGACCAGGTGGGCTCGGCAGGCCACCCATAGGCAGACTGGGTGTGTATGGGGGTGGGGAGGGCAAGAAGTGAGGGAGGCTAGGCACCTGGGCAGAAGAGGTACCGGGGTAGAGGGGAAGGGGCTGAGCTCTGCGGTTTTGGAAGTGAATTCTGGCCGCAGTTGGTTTCAGGGCTTGGTAAGTTTCTCATTTACTCATTCAGCAGTTTCTGGCACTTTTGTTAGTTGTTGGCTCCATGCTGGGTGCCGGGACCACAGTGAGAAGTCAGACCAGGCCCTGTTCTGACTGGGACAGACAGAGATGTCATTTACTGTCCCAGGCTCCGTGATCGACTTGTGTGCCAGGTGCTGTGAGGACCCACGGTGGAGACTGGGGTGGAGGGTAGGCATTCCTGGAGTCTGAAAAGACGAGGAAGGGTGCACCAAGGGGGGTTCACTTCAAGGGGTGGCACCGAGGGGGGTGGCACTGAGGCAGGGTGGCACAGGGGGTGGCACTGAGGGGGTGGCACTGAGGCAGGGTAGCATGGGGGTGGAACTGAGGGGGGTGGCCCTGAGTGGGGATGGCACCAGGGGGTGCACCTGGAAGGGGGTGCACTGAGGGGTATGGCACTGAGGAGGGTGGCACAGAAGGGGAGTGCACAGAGTGGGGGATGCACCCAGGGGATCCATGGGGGGTGCACCTGGGGGAGTGCACAGAGGAGGTTGCACCTCCGGGGGCTGGCATCAAGAGGGAGGTTTGCTGAGGGGGATTCCCCAAGGGGGATTGGCAGTGCAGGAGGAGGGAACAGCAAGAGCCACAGTGGGAGAAACGAGACAGCCTGAGGAGCAAGAGGTGGGGCCAGGGGCAGGGTGCAGGGATGGAGAGCATCTTGCCCATGTCACGGGGCTCCTGGCCCTGGCCCGTGCCTGGCCTTGTGCTCAGAGGCCTTTTCTCATCCCCCATCTCAGTGCTTTCCAAAGTGGGACTGGCTGAGGTGTGGCCAGATTAAAGAGGTTTGGCCTGGTGGCTCCAGGATCCTCCCCATAGTAACTGAACAGTCTTGGGCTGTTACGCATGGCAGTGCCCTGTGCCTGGCACTGTGCCTGTGTGGGGTAGGGCTGGGCACAGCAAAGTGTGGAGGTGTTTCCCTGTGGCTGACCTGGGCCAGGTGTGTCCCCACATTCTTCAGGGACAAAGGGAATCACCTGCCTCAGCTCCCCAGCGCCACCTGCACCCAGGTCCTATGGTAGGTTACAGCGGCTCTGCCTTGTTCCCCAGCCACACAACAAGAGCGCCCCCATCGTACCCACTGTGACAGGTGCCAACCTTGGAAGCCAGGAGGAAAGAGATTCACCCTGACCCCAGCGGTCCCTGTGTGGGTCCCATTCCCAGCCTGCTGGCCACGCAGCAATTTTTACCCATCTGTGGGCCTCAGCTTCCTCACCCTCACAACCAAGGCCTGGAAGCAGAAATGGTGATGGGCTCTTAGAAGCCTTCCCAGACACTCCTTCCTTTCCATTGCCTTCCTGAGTTCAGAGCCAGGGGCTGGCTCTGGCACCAATCTGGGGACTTCTGGGAAGACTGCGCTTGGGATGGGGAGATGCAGCAGCAGACTGGCATGAAGCAGCTGCCAGTGAGTGTTTGCTGCATGACTGAAAAAGCCCCTGGCCCCTGACTCCAGGCTGGCATCTTTCTGGGTCCAGGTGGCCTGGAAAGCACCACTGGGAGCGCAGGTGGCATCCTGTCTCCTGGGTGTGAGCGCAGGACAGACCCAGGACATTCTTCTGAGTCTGCCCTGTGTGCACAGGTTGCAGGGCAGCACAGGGTGGGCAGCAGGGCTGGCAGGGGTGCCCGGGTCCCTCTGATGGCATGCTCTTCCTCTGTGCAGAGTTCATCCTGAAGACACCGAGCACCCCGCGGCCTACAGTGCGGGCGCCCACGAAGGCGCCCCGCCGCAGGCGCCCCACGGCTACTGCGCCCCCGCCTACCCCGCGGCCTCCGAGGCCAGCACGGCCTACCCGGCAACCAGGGGGCCGGAGGGGCGGCGGGCGGCGGCGGGGGCGGCTGAACACGGCGAACCAAGCGTTCCGGGATGGCGAGGTGCGCCTGGTGAGGCGCGCGGGCCTGCGCTCCGGCAGCGGGCGCGTGGAGGTGTTCGTGGGCGGACGCTGGGGCACTGTGTGTGACGACTCCTGGGACATCAACGGCGCCGCCGTCGTTTGTCGCCAGCTGGGGTTTCCCTACGCCGTGCGCGCCGTCAAGAGAGCCGAGTTTGGCCAGGGTGGCTCGCTGCCCATTCTGCTGGACAATGTTCGCTGCAAGGGCTGGGAGCACAACCTGCTGGAGTGCCAGCACAACGGCGTGGGCACGCACGACTGCGAGCACGAGGAGGATGCTGGCGTCGTGTGCAGCCACCAGAACCCCGACCTGTAGGCAGCACGCCGCTGCCCCCAGGCCATCCCGCCGGCTGAGGAGCCTGGCAGGGGCGACTCCCCACTGTGTGCACCTGGCACATGCACACGCATTCCAGGGTGAAGGGGGTGGAGGTTCCTGCTGTCCTGGGACATGTGTGAGGCGCTGCAGTGCATGTGTGCCCTCTGCAGACCCAAGCAGGAGTGTGTGCTGGGGAGGGTGTGGGCTCTGGGTGCACATGGTCCTTCACAACCGGAGGAGTTCCTTTCTTACCTCCGAGCATTCCAAACACCAGCTGTGGGACCCTCAGGACTGAGGGCAGCCAGGCTTCAAGGATGGACATGGCCCCTGGCTGTGCTAACAGAGGCACAGTTGTCAGACTGAAGGCCCAGGGAGAACCAGGCTTGTCCTGCCCACAGCTGGAGTGGAAGGTGCCAGAACAGCTGGAGGGTGGCCTGAGGAATGTGGTTCAGAGAGCATGGCCTGGTGGCCTCACAGTCAGAGGCACTGGAGAGAACCGGAGGCATCCAGTGGGGCAGGGAAAGCCTTCTGGCTGGTGGGTGCAGGGTGAGCTGCAGGCCTGGGGCCCCACTGAAGGGGCAGGCGCATGTCGGGGCCCCACTGAAGGGGCAGGCGCATGTCGGGGCCCCACTGAAGGGGCAGGCGCATGTCAGAGTGTGTTGGCACCTGCTCAGGGAGGCTGGGCGTGGGGGCTGAATGATCTCCGAGGCCACGTGCTGGAGAAGCCTCTCAGCAGCACACCCAGCCCTTGTGGGTGCTCCTGGGATGGCGCCAGCCTCCTCCAGTCCTGAGACCTGACTCTTTCCTGCTTTTGGGGCAGAGCCCCCCACACTAGCTGGGCAGAGCTTTCGCCCTGGCTCTCCAGTGAGTGGGTGGGCCTCCACTACCTTCAAAGCTGTGTTTGAGCACTGGGGCCACCTCTGTCCTTCTCATCCCCACCCCTGCTCAGTGTAAACCCAGGGGACCTTGTGATTCCTCTAGCCCCACCTTGGGCTGACCAGGCTTGGGGGCCAGTGAGACTACTGATGCTTTTCACCCAGGGCTATGCCAACAATGTGGCTGTTTCCACACTGCTCTCCGGCCTCCTCTCTGACCTGGGCCTGTGTAGGAGCTGGGGTGGGAACCAGGAGAAAGGGGTGGGGCCTGCAGCTTCCCACCTGCATTACAAGTAGAAACTCCTTTGCTCCAGGGATGCTCAGCCCTGGCTCTGTGCCAAGCCACCAAGGAGTGCTAAGTATGACTGCACTTAGCCTCGGATGGGAACACGGGTGGGGATGGGTAAGCAGATTAGTCACCAGGCAGTGAGGACAGCATGTGGCCCATGTCAGGGGTTGGAAGAGGTCTGCATTGGGCACCCAAACCCAACCTATGTGTGGGGGCTCTGGGGAGGGGGTGACACTATGCCAAGTTCTGGGAGCTGGCAGCAGGGGCGGCTGGGCAGGCACAGGGGGTAGGCGTGAGTCTGGCAGGGTCTCCTAGCTGTTAGTAAGGATCCTGGGCTGCAGAAGAAAGCTTTAGGGTTACTGTCTTGGACTCATACTCTGTGCTAGGTGGGGTTGTTGGGGCCCTGGGCACCCGGGGCTTGTCTGGCCCTGTTGCACCCCTCTTGGGAATCATGATCAGCCCTGAAGCCAGTGTAGTCTGTGTGCCGAGTGGTGCAGCACGTGTCAACGCTTTCAAGCCTCAGAGAAGCCTCCTTCTCCCCGTTACAGAAGGGGAAACTGAGGCACACAGTGGTTAGATATCTTAGTTGAAGGCACCAAGCCAGGGAGGGGAGAAGCCAAATTTGAATACAGCAGCTTAGTCTAGAGCCCCCGCACCCTAACTACTGCCCTCCCCAGCTCCACTTTGCCTCAGAAAGGGGTATGCTGGGGCCCCTGCCTGGTGTGGGGATGCCAGCCTGGCAGCTGATAGAGATACCTGGGGGCTGTTATTGCCCAGCAGGTGATGTTACTACTGGCCTCCTGCTCCTCTCGGGCCTCCAGGACACAGGGGAGTTCTAAACTCTGCTGCAGGGAGTGTTAGGAGCTAGCAGGGCCTTAGTGAGCATCCCAGCCAAATTCCTCACTGTGCAGATGGGGAAGCTTGCTCAGGGAGGCTGAGTGTCCTGGGCCTCTTGCCAGATGAGGCCACACTGAGACTGGAGGCCAGGGAAGGTGTGGCAAGCCTTAAGGCCCTCGACAATGGCCGATCCAGGGCCCTGCTCACCTGGCCCCAGCAGCTGTTTTACTCAGACATGGATCAGGAGGGTTGGCAGAGGGCTCTCTGGGTGTGGCCTTAGGCCTCCAATACTTCTCTGGGAGCTCAGGCTTCAGCTGGTCAGTCCTCCAGGCCAGGCATGCTCCTTCCCCAGGCTCTAACCCATCACCTCTCAGGCCCCAAACTAAGCCTGGGCTAGGCTGCCCTGACTCCTGGGGCTGACTCCAAGGTCCCGAGGTCAGTGGTCCCCAACCTTTTTGGCATCAGGGACTGGTTTTGTGGAAGACAATTTTCCACAAACAGGGTTTGGGGTATGGTTTCAGGATGAAATGTCCTACCTCAGATCATCAGGCATGAGGTTTTCATAAGGAGTTCACAACCTAGATCCCTTGCAGGCACAGTTCACAGTAGGGTTCATGTTCCTCTGAGGATCTAATGCTCCTGCTGATCTGACAGAGGCAGAACTCAGGCAGGAACGCTGGCTCCCCACACCACCCTCCCCCACTGCCACTCACCTCCTGCTGCGTGGCCTGGTTCCCAACCGGCCGCCCGTCGGTATTTGTCCATGACCCAGGGTTTGGGAACCCCTGCCCTAGGTAGTAATAAGAGTGGATAGCTGACCTCTGCTGACACTACATGCCAAGCACTGGTCTGAAAGCTTAACATACCATTCACTCATGTAATCCTCATATTAACACACATTTACTCAGGTGGAAGCCCAGTCCCAGGGCATTTGTCGCATACCAAATGTCACACAGCCAAAATTTGAATTTGAACCCAAGCAGTCCAGCTCTGGGACCCCACTGTAGGCCTTCTTGCTGGACCACCTCAAGGGTATGGAAAGCCATCCCCACCCCACTGGGACACAAGTTCAGGGAGGGCAGAGCTGGCTCCCTGTCCAGTGCTCCTTTCACTCCCTGTTAGAAACAGATGCTTGGTGCTGCAAAGAAAAATCAGCACTGAGGCAAAGGATCTCTCAGCAAAGCAATTTTTACTTCCTGCAGGAAGGGTACCCTCGCTAGCCATCTTGCCACAAGAGTACAACAAACAAAGGAAAAGCAGACATATTTATCCCGTACACATCTGGGGTTGTTCTTACTGCTGTGTCTGATCTCTATTGGTTGGAGCAAGACCTCACAATCTAAACTAAAACCCGACTGGCTAATGACTTAAAACTTTTTTAAATAGGCAAAAGCAATGGAAAACAAAAAGGAAATCCAAATAAGGAACAGGCATAGGTTGCGAGCTGGGACATGCCTGTGAGCATGCCCAGCACAGATATCTTGGTTAAAGTACAAGGACATAGCATATACTATGTGCATGGCATGTCTAACAGCTACATAGGATAGGGCTTAACAAAGAGTTATTAGCAACAAACAAGAGGGATTTTTTCTTTAACAAAAAAGGAAATTTTGAAGAGGAACTTTTCTACTTCCTCCACTCCACCACCTACAGCTGGCCCCTGAGGGAGCATCCACAAGTGATTCTGTCCCCAGGGACTCCGATCTTGCCTTAAAGTCCTCCAGGGCCTCTGGCAATGGGGGCTGGTCTGGGCACAGCCTTCACCCTCACCCCCTCTAATCCAGCCTGCAGTTAATAGCCAGGATCAGATTCCCAGAGAGGGGCTGCCCTACCCAGTGCCACACAGCTTAGTTCCAGAGTCTCAGGGTCAATGCTGCAGGGGTGGCCCAGGGTCCAGGACTGTGTTCAAGGCATCAGCCAGAGGTCACAACACCCTAGGCCCTAGACTGAGCCTAGGGGTCTCTGTGTTTATACCTTGGAAACGTTGGGGAAGTTCATGGAAGTGGAAACTGGGTTCCAGTCCTGGCTCTGTGGCTCTCTGAGTCTCATTGCAAAACGGAGGTCACCAGAAGAATTATTGGATGAAAAATGAGGTCACATTGCAGCTGTGCCTGGCACGTACCGTCCACGTTGCTTCCTGGACAGAAAGCTTAATCCGAGGCTGGTGGCATCCATGCTGGCAGCTGCGAACTGTCCATGACAGAATGAGGAGGGGCATGCCACGTGGAGGACCAGCATCAGAATGCCATGGGAAGAAACCCTTGCGACAGCAGGAGAAAGAGCTCCCTCAGTCTAACATGTAGAACCCAAGTCTTCTTGTGGGGGCATTTGTTCCCTCGCCCTCCTCCCTGGCTAAGAACTAGCTTTTACTGAACGCTTATTACACACCAGCTGCCTCGGGTGTGTTAGCTCATTTCATCTTGACAACAGCTCCACGAGACACCCTCGATATCACTGTCCCTCTTTTCCAGCCCAGGGGACAGGTTCCTAGGGTTTTATGTAAGCGGTCCCCAGGGCTTTAGAGGCAAGTTTGCACTAAAGCCCATTCTCCCAGAGCCTGATCCTCTCCCTCCCTGGACTACTGCACCTCCCCCCTGCCAGGCCACCCATGTAAAGGCAGCCAATTCAGAGCCGCCTTATGCCTACATATCCCCCAACAACTCCTGCTGGGAAACCGCTCCCTGTATGGTGTCATCCACACTGGTGATTTTCAAGCCTGAGAAGAATCAAGTTCTACAGGGCCGCTTGAAACACAGGTTGTTAGATCCTGTCTCTCAGAGTTTTTGACTCTGTCTTGGTTGAGAATCTGCAGTTCTAGAAGCTCCTGGGTAATGCGAATGCTGCTGTTCTAGGGACCACAGTCATTGTCCATACTGGTGCTATCCAGTAGAAACGTAATGTGAGCCAAAGAAGTAACTTAAAAGCTGCTATTAGCCATGTTAAAAAGTAAAACGAAACAGGTAAAATTAATTTTAATATTTTATGTAACCCAGCATATTCAAAATATTATCATTTTAACAGGCAACCCATATATAAATATCAATAACATTTTTTTGAGACAGGGTCTGGCTCTGTCACCCATGCTGGAGTGCAGTGGTGCTGTCACTGCTAACTGCAGCCTCAATCTTCCAGGCTCAAGTGATCCCTCCACCTTAACCTCCTGAGTAGCTCGGACCACAAGCATGTGTCTCCACGCCAGCCAGTGTTTTTTTATTTTTTGTAGAGATGGGGTCTCCCTATGCTGCCCAGGCTGGTCTTGAACTCATGTTCTCAGGAGATCCTATTGCCTTTGCCTCCCAAAGTGCTGAGATTACAGGTGTGAGCCACTGTGCCTGATGACCTCTTTTCCCCATTCTTATTTTGTATTAATTTGTAGAATCTAGTGTGTATCTTACACATAGCACATCTCAATTGGACTAGGCACATTTCAAGTACTGAATAGCCACAGGTGGCCAATGGCTGCCATATTGGATAGCTTACTCCAGACCCTCCAGGGAAAGAGCAAGTCGTTGGCCACGTGCTTCCAGGCAGCGCCCTCTGCTGGTGTCTGGCAGGGCTGCCCACCCAGGATAAGGGCCTTGAGCCCTGGGA